TTGCTCTTTGGTGCATCCTTGTGCTTCAGTTTAGGTGAGTGAGATTCTAGTGTTTCATTAGTCTGTTAGCACTAAATAGCAGTTATGCATGTCTATACATATCTATAGATATCTTGCTAGCTAAGCTCATTAGCATTAACTAATAACTTTACTGCCTTGTACAACTACATGACAACTTCTAGCTAAAAGGAAGCTAACATAAAGACCACATCTATTTTTTTAAACACAATCTTTGCTGGAAAACTGTTTAAAACAGTTGATTGGGCTCTGAGCTGAAGCTAGCTGACAGATAGTCTAACTTAGCCATAAAGAGACTGTTCAAAGCTAGAATACTGCTATTTCTCAAATAGACCTATGGTCTTTATGTGGTTTTGTTTTGTTGTTTTTAGTTTTTTCTAAAAATAGAGAAAATTCTCTCTATTTTTTCAAAATAGAGAGAAAATCAAAAGGAGCAAACCCTGGCTGGTCTGTCTTTATTTTATATTTGTTTCCTGAAGACACAGCTGGTTTGCCTGATAAGCTGACAGCTAGCAAGACATATAAGCAGGGATTTGACATTGGGTTTTCATTACTGAGCTTAAGGGTTCAGCTGACAAATGTCCTGCAAACACACAGGAGACATTGTGATACTTTTTCATATGTTGTCGGATAGTGAATTGATGCTAATCTCTGGTGCCCACCTATCAAATTTCACTATACTCTTGACAATTTTTGAGTCTGAACAGCAACTTGAATTAATCATATGCAAACAACGTTGGCTTTTGTGGCATTTCTATTTTAACTATGATGTAAAAAAAAAAAAAAATCACAGTGTTTACTGTTTTTGCCAGTTTTACTAAATTAAGTATCCCTGAAATGTCTCTAACATTGTCTCTGTCTGAGACAGCTATTCACTTTGAAAAGTAAAGCCTTATAGCAAATGTTAGAAAGGGTTATGTTATCTGAGGAGCTGTCGGTTACCAAATTTCAGTTTTTATATTTTTACCTAACTGTGGTGAGCTAAGGTATTCTTTTAGTTAGTTGGTGGACTGCTTTGACTCTACAGTCTTCAGTTAGCATGTTAAAGTTCCTGACAGCACAATTAGAAAATAACTGGACAAGTGTGGCTCATTTGGAAGTGTTACTAGGAGAAAGTCTCTTCTCTCTAAAAGGAACAAGGCAGCAAGGCTTAGACTTCCAGAGTCGCATCTGATAAAGACACAAGACTTGTACAAATGAGAGCCACATTTGGCAAAAAACAAACACATCAGAATAAGCACCTCGTACCAACTGTCGCACACGGTGGTGGAGGGCTGATGATCTTGGCTTGTTTTGTAGTTACAGGACCTGGGTGCCTTGCAGACATTGATCGACCTGTATACCACAGTATTATAGAGTCAAATGTGAGGCGAACCCATCTACCAGCTAAACCTTTGCCAGAACGAGGTCATGTAACAGGAAAATGATCCCAAGCACAGCAGCAAATGTATAACAGAATAGCTGAAAAAGAAAAGTCCAGACCTCAACCTGATTGAAATGCAGTGGTGTGGGATCTTAAGAAAGCTGTGAATAAACGAATGGCCACAAACGTCAATGAACTGAAGCAATGCTGTAAAGAAGAGTGGGCCAAAATCCCTCCACAATGATGTAAGAGACTGATAAAGCCATACAGAAAATGGTTATTTCAAGTTATTGCTGCTAAGCTATTCAATCATGAGGACTGAATAGAGGTCTGTGAAAACTCTTTTTCACAGGACTGTAAACTACAGAGTCTTGTTGATGTATAAATGCAAAGTTTGGTACAAACTAAAGGACAAAACCAGAAACTTGGTCTTTAAATTATAATGAACTGATAGATTGGGTAGTTCCAGTAATCATTTCCAGAGAGGTCTGAGATCTGGAGGGTTCCTCACCATTAGACTTGTACTGATATCTTGGTGAGTACAATAATCATATTATATGAATAATCATCAAAAACTCTCGTGTTTTTTTTAAAAGGATACATTTTCATTACTGGCTCAGGCTGATAACTTGAGTGACAGTTTCACTAAAGAGATCAGTCATATAGTTGCAATAATACCAGAACAGTTCTCAAGTCACGTAATTATGTGTAATAACTGTTAACCTTGCAATTTTACCACTGCCACATGTAATTTCATATCCAGAAATGCATGAAACTGGGCAAATATAAGGTGGAATTACAGATGTGACCCTGCAGCACTCTTATTCATATTTAATGAGAGAACAGGGCTTGGGGAGGACTTTTATTCTCTATGGAGGAGGCTGTGAGCCAATCAATAAGTAATATAAGGAAGACTTAGAGGGATCCACTGAATGCCTATGAGGACTGAGGCCTGAATGTATGTACGAGCTCGCCTTGTGTCCTTCCCGCAGCATCTCCCTTTTTAACTCAGCTGATTAAGTAAAAACGTATTCTGTATCTCAGAAACTTTGCCGAGGCCATACTTCAGTTTATTAAATTATTTCATACTTTTTACAGATCAAATATAAGACTGGCAACCAGTTACAGTGCAGAACTTTTGACCATGAATGGTAAAAACCAAATGACAGCTCAAGGTATTCCAGCATTATTGATTAAAAATAAGAGTTGATGATTTGTAAGCTGTTCAAGCTCCATGAGGTTGAAATATAATTCTAGAAGCCCTTACACGGACCAAATCAATCATATTTTAAATTTTAAATTAAAACTGATTTTGTTTAGGTTTCTAAATAAACATTTATTATTGCTAGTTATTTTATTTAAAAAGGGGAAAAAACATTCAGGTCTACTAGTTCATCTCAGAAAATGTAAATATCTGGATGGGTAAGCAGGAACAGATGGATTTATGGATGGAAAGTTTCATATATTTTGGATTTATTCAATGTAAAGTGAAATATCAGGTCTTTCCTGTATTATGGCTTATAGATCATGAAAATCAGAACTCAGGCTTCTCAAATTGTGAAAATAATCAGAAGAACATTTCCTAATATTCTGTAAAATATGTTCATTTTTATATTGAGTACTTGGTTGGGAGTCAATGCAGGATGGCATGGAGACAATCAGCTTGTGACACTGCTGAGTTGATACTGAAGCCCAGGTGGTTTTGATAGTAACAGGCCTAGGGAGCTGAATACAGTAATGACATGTCTAGCAAACAATTTGGTAGTAGCTGTGGCACTGTGGGCAGGTACTAAGTCCTGATGGAAAAAGCAATACACATCTTCCGGTTTATGACCACGTTGAATCTGGACTTGGTAAAACACAGTGGACAAGCCATACTAGCAGATTACATGGCACCCCAAATCAACCCAGACTTAGGAAACTTTACACTGGTCTGGATTCTGTGCTCTCCACTATTCCTCCAGACTCTGGGACCTTGATTTCCAAATGAAATGAACGAATGTACCTTCACCAGAAAAGAGGACTGTGGACTATTCAGCAATATTTCAGTTCTTTTTCTCCTTAGCCCACACAAGATACTTCTGACACTGTCTCTTGTTCAGGAATGGCTTAATATTATAGCCCCTTTTCTGAAAACCACTGTGTGTGGTGGCTCTTGCACTGATACCAGCCTCAGTCCTTGTGAAGTTCTCTTGACAATCCACTGTTGCTTGTCCACCTTTTCCCATCATACGTTTTCCTTCCAGTTAACTTTAATACAGCACTCTGTGAACAGCCATCCTTTTCAGCAATGACCTGCTGTTGCTTACCTCGTTTGCATGAATTTCTATTATGGTTTCCCATGCTTTTCCACCAAGGTTATCCAAATTGACATCATTAAGATCATTTTCTTTAGTAAAAGTATAAATATACTTCTATGAAATCGTTTATACCAAGAAAAAGTCTTTCAAAGATATAATGGAAAGACTCAAATTGCTGTACCGTATATGTCATGTGCAAGTGACCTCTATAGCATTTTATTGTTATTGATACATTATTGAGCAGTAAATGAGCGCTGCAGCAGGTCAAGTTGGAGCATTTTTCAACAACTATATTGTGTGCATATAACATTATAAGAGTAGTATCAGGATGGATTACTGAATAGGACTGCCAGGCACAGAGCCAGATCACATGGCCTTAGAGATTTCATTTGGTCAGAGCCCTGGTAAGACATGACTGTTAACATCTCTTGTTGGGCAGTCAATCAAACAACAAAGAGACACAAACCTCTCAAACAGCCACACTACTAAGAGGCACAGAACAAAAAAGTCACAATACAGATGAAAATGCCAACAGCTTTAAAGAAACACAAAATGTTTGCAGTCAAAGCAACACAGTAAAAAAAAAAAAAAAGCACAGAGACAAAGATAAACCACCAGCAGGCTTTCAGTCTGCTTTTGCTGTTGTATAGCACGGATGCGGGCTTTCTGGATGAGAGTACCCAGAAGTTTATTCTGTCATAATCAGATCTGTCAACAATAGCGGCTTAAGCTCAGAAGTAAATGTATTAAAGTGTACTGAGAGAATGTAGTAGATTTACTGCAAATCCAAACACTCATACAAGTACCTGAAAATTGTACAGTACAGTGCTGGAGTAAATAATCACGTTAATTTCCTGCTCTGAATTTTCAGCTCAATCTGACGATTAAAAGTGGACATGTACACTGAAAACTAGAAACTAAACCAAAACTAAAACCTTCGGCATTCCTCACTTCTGCTAAGAGGACATTAACACTGGAATGTATGTACAGATGTATGTTGTACAATCATTCCCCTGTGGAAAAGGTTTAAAAAATAACAATTAAAAGCCCCAAACTATTGTTGATCAGTGTATGGAAACTTCTGACCACAATTGTATGTCCTGACCATTGACTGTAGAAAACAGTCAATGGTCCTGACACACAGTGAAACTAGAACCAACTCCGAAGTATTGAAAGTATTTAAGCTGTAAAGAAAGAAGTTCTCTCTGTTTATACTGCAAGTACTGAATTTACTGCTTCAGTTGATCATATGTTCACTGTAGTATATGTGGAGTATAATGGAAAGTTTCACCTGTTCATGGATCAAAATTGTTGCTTACCAAGTGATTGTCCAGCAACGATCCTGGCGTTCTCTCCAGCCACGGCTGCCCGGGCATTCCTCTCGCTGGCGTACTGAACAAAGGCGTAGCCTTTGTGGACAGAACAGCCCACAATCTTGCCGTATTTGGCAAAGATGGCCTCAATGTCAGCCTTGGTTACTACGGCTGTGTTGAGGTTGCCGATGAAAACGCGAGAGTTGAGGGAGCGCGGATCATTCTTGTTGGTCACGTTGCTAGTCTGGGTCTTCCCAGTCATCCTATTCCTGCAGCAATACCTGCAGGGAGACACAGTTGAACACTGCTCAGGAAGCCAGGAAGGTTAGATTGCAGAGGTTATACATAGAGAGTCAAACAGCGAGCAGCAGTGGGATGTAAACACTGGTCAGATCTGAGAGCATATGTTGTAAATAATTCCTCAGATTTTCTTTGTACAGGCTGAGAAACAAATCCCTTCCTAGTAAAATTGGGGAAAAAATGCTTGCATGTTATCCTAAAGGCTGTTTGTAGACAAATCTTTAATGATTTCAGATTAGTCATATTCACGTATTTATTTTTACAACTGCCACATGTAAAAATTATAATACAGCATGTATTTGGTGTCATCTTTCCCTCCTGAGAATGTTTTATGATTAACCAAATGAGCAAAAGGACTGACAAAGAGGAAGACATTGATAGATAATAATTACAATAAATATCAAGCAAAGTTTAAATCAAACTCCAGGCACCATTGAACATAATTTTACAAAGCCAAACCTTGATTGCTGACATTTTTCTTTCAATCATCTTTCAACTATTTTCTCAATTAATCATTTAAAACATCAAAAAATAAAATATGGCAAGAGAGAGCGGTTTCCTGGTGTCTATTTATTTAGTTGATAAAACCCAACAATATTCAGTTTGCTGACAAAACAAAGAAAAAAACAAGAAAATGACTGACAGTAACTTTGGATTTACTCCGCTGCTTATATATTTTTAAACTAATTGCTTGATTGTGGAAGCAAAAATCAAAAACCCAATGAAAATCAAATACATTTAAAATGTCTGAACAGACTGATTTTGGTTATTTTTGCCTAAACTGCTATTTTAAAATTCTACATTATTTATCTCGAGTATTCAGTGAATCACATGGTTACAGCTCATGAGTCGTTATGCTGCTTATGCTGTTATTATCCTTGTCTAAGTGTTCACTTGTACTTGTGCCTACCTCAGTGAGCACGGAGACTGAGACAGATTGCTGTCTGCAGGAGGGGAGAGGAACTCTGACACGGAGGCGGCTGTGATTCAGGCGTGTGAATCTGATAGATCTCACTATATATGTGAACTGTGTTCCCACATTTGAAAATAGCACATCACACTGAAGTCACAAGAATCCCCACTCACTGTTTTACTTTCTTTTTTTTCCTTTTGAGTCTCTTCTATATGCAGTGCCAGCGGTGGCCTTTATACTCCAACTGAGTATTTCACATTATAATAACTATGTTCATCTTTTTCATAGCATTTCAAAAGGGAGAAAATGTAGTATTATATATTGTTACAGCTATGGTTGACACATTGTTTCTATATACA